GTCTTTCATGTGATTCTATTCCCAGCCACCACCCTGTAAAACTGACCCACCCAGCCCACGTTCACACTCAGAGCCCCAATGAAATGCCAGTGACACCCTCTTCTTCCCAGCAGCCACCTAGGAGAGCAGAGTAGGTGAGGTAATGCCACCAGGAAGAGTCTAGGGTACAAATCTATTATGTGGGGATGTCAGGGCCAGGACCAGGGGAGGGAAGGGCCTGTTGCTGGATGTTGGAGAGTTCATGTCCCCATAAGAAGGAAGAGACAGAGGTCTCTGGACATATGTCGGTAGAAAACACAGACCTTCGTCATTTCCTCAGTCCCTTGCAGGAACTGTCCCCTCCCCAGAGGCCACCCAGAGGACAGACTAAAGGTCAGTGGTACTGGTGACAAAGCAGCAGGCTATGGTTTATTAGGGCATGCTGCTGTGAGAGAAGGGAATGAAGGGGAAATTGTCATCGAACGAGCACCTACCATTTGTTGGGCACCATGATAGACACTCTGTCAGGCTGAAAAGCTCAAATACCCACAGGGGCTAGTCAGGCAGCATAAACAGGAGAAGTGGGCCAAGTGTGAGGCACTGAGGAATGGCAGGGACCAAAGCAAACTGGGCACAATCTCCATCTACAAGCATTCAAATTCAATTTCTTAAAAAAACCACTCTTCCTGCCAAGCAAAATATTCATAGGCCAACCTGACTTACCTGTCACCTCCTACAATGACATAGGTGTAAAGAGATTTCAGTCCTAGGCCTTTTATCAGCTGGTTAAAGGAGACGCGTCAAGGGGGAGAGGATGTAAAGCAGTAATGATAGTGAAGGAACAATTATCGTGGACTTTTAACACCTAGAGGTTAGATAGAGGCTGTATGATGATTCTCTTAGGCCAGTGCTTAAGCCAGTACTGCTTAAAATCTGGCGCTTGAAGATGTCACTTGGAGATGATCCCTTGGGGGTACACGGGATGAAGAGATCTTGGCAGTAGACTGGTGGGGCTCAGATGCGCTCAGAAGAAATGGGACTCCATGGTAAGATCTGGCTTTTGAAAGAGGAGAGAGGGCTGGAGGGGTCCACCGAGGCATTTAGCAATGATGACCTTTCTGGTCCCAAGGGTCAGCCCCAGAAGGCGAGGGAGGAGAACCAGGGAATAGCGCACTCCTCAACATGAGTAATGCCAGATGTGCCTTCTCCACTCAGGACCATCAGCCCCACCTCAAGGTCCCGAAGAAGGAAAAAGGCTCAGGTCACCGGGGTCCAGCTCAGATCAGAGGAAGCATATTCTTTTCTTTGTCAGGAACAGAAGAAGAATTGGGGAGACCCCTTAACCCTCCTCTATGGCAAAAGTGAACAGAGCAGAGACAGTGTGGTATAGCAAAGGGAATATCAGACTCGAGAGAGAAATTTCAGTCCAACTCCAAATGCTGGCTTAGCTATTTATTCAAACCCTTACTCGTTCCAGAAAAGACTGAAAGCAGCTTTGTTCTCTAAATGTAAATAAATAAGCAAATAAATAAGTAAATAAATACACAAAAGCAGCATTATCTAGCAATTATCAGCTGGGTATATTTGGGTAAGCTACTGTGGTTATCCTCAGTTTTCATTTTGCCATCCCCAAAAAAGAAACTGGACAATAACACCAACTTCACAGATTTTTTTTTTTTAAGGCAGTGGGTATGAAAGCACACTGTCAATTATAAAGTATTATGCAGGTGATAATTATTATTAAAATTATTTTTGGTTAATAAGATGACAACAAGGATCCAAGAAGGAGGCCTGGGAGAAGGGAGAACTGAGGTCTTTAAAAGAGAAATGGAGACTAACGAAAGAGCGAAGTAGAGGGAAAAAGAAGTTTAGGCAGAGCGCAAATGGAGGGTTAGCACCTTCCCCAGTTCCTGAACCCTTCCAGCCACTTGTACCCTGGTGGTCAGAACTGACTCACTGTAGAGTCACTGTAGGAACAAGCAGGAATAAAAAGACAAGAAGAGGACAGTAGATTGGAGGTGAGGTGGAGGGGCCCTCTGGGTTTCCAAAATTAGGGACTGTGGTCGGAGAGGGCATAGGTTGAGGTGGGGTTGGGGTCGGCATCTTTATTTGCAGTGCCACGGGGATGGGTCTGGGTCACGTGGTGTGTGGGCATGGCTTGCCCCTCCTCCTGGAAGATCTCAGCATCACATTGCCCCAGCAATAGACCAATTTGTTCAGCATTTGCTTTGCCCAAGTCCTGGGTCAGTGGGTTTGGCCTCTCTGTGATTGGCAGGACTGCCTCCTACCCAGACAACTAGAGGGAAGAGGGGACAGGGTAGACAGAAAGCCGAGGCCCCATTCACTGCAGCTGAACTGGAGGTGCGAGGGGCGGCAGTCACAGTGTTTGTACACACACCGCCCCCCGCCCGCCCCGCCCCAAGGACTTAGCCCGCACTTGGTACTCTGGGCTTATTAGTGAAAGAAGATCCGGAGGGAAGGTGGGAAGGTAGAAAGGAGGAGAAGAAGAGCAGAAACCCAAGGTGGAAGAAGTCTGGATGAGAAATGATTCTAGGAATCAGTGCAGAAGGCCAACATGAAGAAAGGTCTCAACTCCCATTTTCCAGGTTCCGGGGCCTCAGTCACATGTGGAAACCGTTTTGTGTCCGGCACGGTCCCACACTGTGGACACACTGTCCTGCCAGCCTCTTCCCCCACACAAATCTTTCTGTCACGCTGCGTCTGCTCCCAGCTGTCAGGGCTTTATCTGTGCTGCAATAACGATGAAACCAGGTGCTGTGGCCCCTCTGAGTACCACTCCCTCTGAGCCTTCTACCTGTACACTCTTCCTGATCTTTAGGCCAGCTAGTAACCTCAGGGAAGCTTCTGGAGTCCCTCTCTATATGCACTGAGACTCCCTAGCCGCTGCGTTTCCCCTGAAGAGGTTCATTACTCTTGCCCTTTGGTACAATAACCTCTTTCTCAATGGCCTGGGGCCTAGAAGTGCAGGACCAGACCCAGACCCAGACCCAGGGCAGTGAGAGTCTCTGGGCAAGATGCTCAGGGGTTCTCAGGGTCCTCCGGGCCTCAGGGTCAGCAGAGGTCAGAGGGCCTGGGGCCTATGGCTTGATCACATGCTCAACCCATCCAGTGGTCCAGTTGTCTGTGCCCCACTTGCCCCGTTTCACTCTCCTTTCAGAAGGAAGACAACAAAAGCTTCAGAACCCCAGGGGTGTGCACACTGAACCAGGTATTACAGATGAAAGCACCACAGAAATAGAAATACTGCAATCAGGATCCGAAAACAAAGTATCTGCCCTAAAGATGTTAGCCAACCTTTATTTACATTGAACAATGCACCTTTCTCATCCAGTATCTCCTTTGATACATTAACACTAAGAACAACACTGACACCTCCTTTATCAGACGATGAGATTGAGGCTCAGAAGTTGTTGGTTGCTGATAATCACACTGCTGACAGAATCGCACCCCACCCCCACCCCCGTCCAGGCTCTGACTCCGGGTTCCACGCTCACCCGAAGCACGACAAAAGTGAGGATCTATTAGATGTTTATTGAATGAATAAAGTAACTAACAAATTGGTGCGAATTAATAATCTCTCACTCACACAGTGTTCTAAGACTTGTAAAGATCGTTCCTGACATCGTCTCATTTGATCTTCACAACAGTCCTGTGACATTTTGGACTCTGATTTACAGGTGGGAAACCTGAGACATAGATTAACCAGTTTCCCCAAGGCCACACAGTACATTGAAAAGGTAAGACAAGACACCCAAGTCATTGCTGTTTAAATGTCCTCCTAAAAACTCAGAAATCTTAGAGGTGGGGGTTGGGGGTGGGGTGGGAAGTGGGTGGAGGAGGGCAAAGGGTGAAAAATTGAGAAAACTTTAATAGAATAAACATGATTTAAAAAAATAAAATAAAAAGCATAAAGCTTCTTTTTAAAAAAACCAACTCAGTACTCTTAATAATCGCTGTATCTCAGGCACATAGGTGACCCTCGGTAAATATTTGATTAATAAATAAAAGAATGAATGAGAGGCTGAAGGGAATGAATATCACATTATGAATGGGGAAAAAGACTTAAAAGCTGACGCAGTCTACAAGTAGGAGATTGTTAAGACAATTATATCTCGACCACCCTGTCCCCTTCTGCACTGGAGGTAGAATTTCTCCGCCCAACCGGCTAATTTCAGCGCGGAGGGATGGGGCCCTCCCAGGTGCCAGGGACCCTCGCACCTGTGCCTCTACTATCGCCCCCGCGGCCTCGTGGGTCTGAGCCCGGGGTTGGGGCGGGGAGCAGGTGTCTGGAGGAATGACGGCGCGTGGGGGTGCCACCCGTGGGGGGGTCGTGGGAGGAGCCCTGAGAGAAGGGGGTGAGGGCGGGAGGGGGTGGGGGATGACGGCGGCAGGAACCCCAGCAGGGAGGGGCGGGGCGGGACCGGCAAGTCCCCGCCAGGCTGCGGCGGAGCGAGCGGGGCCAGCTCTGCAGAAGGAGGCGGCTGGCTCGCAGGAACGGTCACATCCCGCTGCAGGAGCCAGCGGGGACAGCCGCACAGCCTCTCGTGCCGGGGACCCAGGCCGCCGCTCGCCCACCCACGGACTACGCCTTCGCCGCCGCCGCGAGCTCTGGGGGCCCCGCAGCCCCGCAACCCGCGCCCGCTACGCCTCCGCCCTCTGCCCGCTGCGCGGCCCCGTGCTCCCCGCCTCGCCGGGCCCGCGCCGGGATGGGGTAGGGGCAGCACGACCAGCGCGGGCGATGGGTCGCCCACTGGGCACCGAGCAGCCCCCCGAGGCCTGACCGACCGCGAGGACCGGCGGAGGTGGGTGTGGGCAGGGCAGACCCGCGCGCTGGTGATGCAGGGGCGGGGAAGGCGTGGGCAAAGGGTAGCTCTGGGGCTGCTGTGGGCCGTGGGGAGCCCGGGACAGTTGCTGCCCACTCGTGGGCTCTGGGCAGTCCTTGACCACCTCCCTCGTCTCCCCCGCCCCCCAACTCCTACCATTCTCAGGAGCCCCGCCTGGATGCCGAGCGGATGCCCCAGTGCCTCCTAGCGGACTCGGTGGGGACCATGGCTTCGCTGATGCCCCTCTCCCCGTATCTAAGCCCCACGGTTCTCCTGCTGGTCAGCTGTGACCTGGGCTTTGTCCGAGCAGGTGAGTAAAGGAGAGCAGGGTGGGGATTAACCAGAGCTAGTCTGTGGATGGAACCTGTTAACCTGTTAACATACTGGCACTCACAGACCGGCCTCCATCTCCTGTGAATGTGACAGTCACTCACCTCAGAGCCAACTCGGCCACTGTGTCCTGGGACGTCCCAGAAGGCAACATCGTCATTGGCTACTCCATTTCCCAGCAAGTATGAATCAGCCTTCTGGTCCCCTAACTTGTGTCCTTGGATCTCTGAATATTCCTTCAGTAACCTTCCTCCCCCCACCCCCAACCTCCCTCCCAGCAGTAGGAGAATCTGGGAGCTGGTGTTCCCTGCCTCAAGCCGCCCTATTCCTCTCTCTCCCTCGGAGTGCTTGGATGTGCAAGAGTCCTGGGTTGAGCCTGTGGCCTGAGACTGGGGTGAGGACGCCCTCCTTTCTCATTGTCTCCTTGCAGCGACAGAATGGCCCCGGACAGCGTGTCATCCGGGAGGTGAACACCACCACTCGAGCCTGTGCCCTCTGGGGCCTGGCCGAGGACAGCGACTACACAGTGCAGGTCAGGAGCATCGGCCTTCGGGGAGAGAGCCCCCCGGGGCCCCGGGTGCACTTTCGAACTCTCAAGGGTTCTGACCGGCTGCCTTCAAACAGCTCGAGCCCAGGTGAGGGTCTCAGCTATTCCCCAGGCCCTAAAGCTTTGCTTTCTCTGGCTTTTTATCTGGACTTTAGCCTCCTGTTTACTTCTCCAAAGCAAGCAACAGTCTAGCTTAGATGAATAGAAGGATGATTTAATCTGTTGTACTGCCAGGAAAGGAAGGAAAGCAGGTTGGCAGGCGACTCAGTATAGACAGGCTGGCAATGAATCGTTTGGAGGAAGGGCTTTTAAGCTTCCTTTTACCCAACAGAGGTTCACAGCAGCTGCAGCCTGCGTGAGCAAGTACCCGACCTGTAGCCCTCTGGGTTTTTGGCCTCTGAGCCCCTGTCCATCGACAGCTTCCCAGAGAAGGGCTACCGGGGGCAACCGTGTGATGGTCTAGACCGACTCTAATCCCCAGTATCTCCATCCCCAACACTCTGCATAGACATAGCTCTCTAGCTACTCCCCACAACGCAGGATCTGTCTCCTTCCTTTTCAGGTGACATCACAGTGGAGGGTCTGGATGGAGAGCGACCGTTACAGACGGGGGAAGTGGTCATCATTGTGGTGGTGTTGCTCATGTGGGCTGGTGAGTAAGCAGCCGGACAGGGGACCAATAATTGAGGGAACGGGGCTCCGTGAAGGTGGGAGGTGGTGAAGGTTGTTGGGAGAAAAGGGGGTGGGAGAAAGGGAGTGGGAAGACGCTTAGTTGAGAAGGACGAGCAGAAGTTTGAAGAGGAGAGGAGACTATGGGCAGCTGGAAGAGAAAGATTAAGAGGATGGTGCTTGTGCATGGGCACCAGGAACTGAAGGATTTTCTTCTCAGATTCTCTTTAAACTGGGGGTGTCTCACTGCCCTTTGAGGCCGTGTGTGGGGAGGTCGGGATCAAGGCTCAGATTGTATTGTTATGTTTCAGCTGTAATCGGGCTGTTCTGCCGTCAGTATGATATCATCAAGGACAATGACTCCAACAACAACCCCAAGGAGAAGGGCAAGGGGCCAGAGCAGAGTCCTCAGGGAAGGCCAGTGGGGACAAGACAGGTGATGTGGGGCCAGTGAGGGAGGGAAGGGTGATTTTGCCTCTAGGAGCAGCCAGGGAAAAGGGAGAAGGCCAAGGAGGGGCCAGAAAAGGGAGAATGAAAAGTTGGGATAGAAGAGGCTATTTCCTTTCTGAAATTAGAGACTCAAGCCATTTTAATTCACAGAAAAAGTCACCATCCATCAACACCATAGACGTATGAGTGAAGAAACAAAACAAGAAGAGAGATGCCCTAACAACCTGGGGATGGGGATGGGGTCAGGGAGAGCCTAAGATGATGACCTGCCCAGGACTGAAGGATCCCACAGTCTCCCCGAAGATACTGACACTCCCAGTCTCAGGCCTGGTACCCATCCTCTTTCCACTGTGAACAGGGCTAGAAGGTAGGTATGTTAGGGTCTGTGCCCCTGGACCCGGGGAGTGGCTATCAGATGGGATATGTCTTTCCACCCCCCAAGTTCAGGGGAGAATCACTTGTTCAACCCTATCCCACTAGGTCCCACATGGGGCCCCGATTTCACCTGCATCAGGACTCTCAGCATCCCCAGCTACCCCTACATTTTGCCTCTGGGTCTCAGAGAGGGGTTTCTGTGGGTACTCCCCCTTCCCCAGCAAATAAAAAAAAAGACAGACACTGCACTGCACTACTCCAATGTCTTCCATGGAGCCTCAGGTGCTCCCCCTCTTACCTGGCAGCACCCCCAGCTGCTGGTGATCTCATCCCTTGGACATTTTCCAATAAAGGTTCTTGGGCAAACCGGAGCTGACTGTATAGTATACTGTATAGTAGGCTGAAGACATTTCCCCAAGACATTCCTTCTCTCCTCTCGCTACAAGGACCCCTCATACCACTACCCACTTGACAGGAGCAAACTCTCATTTTAAGGTGTTTGCTTTGATTCTCCAGCCTGGAATGGGTGGAGAGGAGTTAGAGAGGGGTATAGAAAACTAGAGCCCTAGTTACTTTTGCTTTGTTGGGTTAGAAAGGGGGGAAGGAAAGAAGAGAATAGAAATTCTTCCTGCACCAGTGGAAACTAATGTTATGTCACATGAGAGGGCCAGTAGCCTTTTTATCTTCACATCAGCAGCCCAGCTCATCATTTATTCTTCTGACTCCTCCATCAACCCTGAGCTCATTTTCAGAAAAGGACTGAACAGTGTCTTGGGACAAATGAAAGAGCAGCTATACTTATGGATCCCTCAGTGCCACGTGCTCCTCCTGTGCATTCTTGTACCTATTCTTCCATGCCCTTGCCTTCCCTTTTGTCTCTGTCTCTGTTCTTTCAGTCAAGGTCAATGATAATTGTAAAGCATAAATGATTTTATGTTCACTCTCTGCCACTATATCCAGAGGAGGATTCTGGAAATAAAGATGAAGGGTTCAAACGCCCCTGTCAAAAGAATTATAATTTGGGCCCTCCGGCCTATTTGTTTTCTGTAAAAATAGGGGCTGTCTTCTACTCTTTCCTAAGTTCCAAGCGTGGTTGGTGCCAGTGAAATACCAGTTGACGTTTGCAGCCACTGTGGGGGCAAAGCTTCAGAACCCAGAACCTGTCTGGACAGCACATGCTCCACTTTCTGGAGTGTTACAGGTCTTCTCAGCTACAGACCTTTCCAGAGGAAGCTTGTGAATAATTCTTGTTTTCTGAATCTTGATCTCTCTGGTATGTTACAAAATTAAACCAATAATTCTGAGAGACTCCAATCCAAACAAAGGTCAAGAAGTATCTTTTCTACTTAATTGATCAAGCCCCAAACCCAAGTATCACAAGACAACCTTAACCTATCAGGTTTCTGATGAGCCAATTTCTGATTTGCCCTCTACCCTGAACCATGAAAGTATCTGGACCTAATCAGCAGTCTTTAAAACACCATTACCCAATTTGGAAACAGGTTACCTTACCTCTCGCTGGCTACTGGTTCCAAAACACTCATCTCTCAGACTGGACACATTTCTTGGGATGGGAGTGTCACAGGGTACAGTGGCATGGAGATAGGGAGGTGGGAATTGAGTATAAAGGGTGGTCGAATGTGCCAGCTCTGGATTAAACCCCAGTTCCATCCTTAACTGACTGTTAGCTTGGGCTAATGACCCCTCTAATCCTGACTCTCCTGTTATGTAAAATGATAACGCTATCCCCTTCAAAAGGTGGCTTTGAGCCCTAACTGGTTTGGCTCAATTGGTTGGGTGTCATCCCACAAAGCAAAACGTCGCCATTTCAATTCCTAGTCAGGGCAAGTGCCTGGGTTGCAGCACGTTCCCCGGTTGAGGCACATGCATTAGGCAACCAATCCACGTTTCTTTCCCTCTCTTTCTCCCTCCCGTACCCTCTCTCTAAAAAAAACAAATAAGTAAAATAAAAAAAAACAAAAACAAAAACCGGCTTTGAGAGCAAATGAGATAATGTACGTGCAACACTTTGCACAGTAAATCTGGCAGGCACATACTGAGTATTCACTCTTAGCTATCATTATTAGCCTTGTGATCCCACGCAAGTCATAGAACTGATTTGGATTCAATTCCGTCAACTGTAAAAGGTCTAGAATAGCAACTGCCCTGCTTTCCCTCGGGGCTGCTAGGATTAAAAGAATGCACTCAGCTACGCTTACGTACATCAAAGAGCGAGAAAGACTGCGATTACTCTGACGCCGGGTTTGCAGCAGAATCCTGAGCGTGGTTTGAGCTTGAGTTTGCGAGCAGCAACGGGATTGGTCAAGGAGAGGATTCATCAAGTCCTACCCAGGTCCCGCCCTCAATCTCACAGCGCCTGCGCACGTTCTGTTTGCTTCGCCGACAACCTACGTGATGACCTTGCGACGTGTGTCGCTCTCCGGTCACATCTGCGTCAGGGCGTTGCTGCGGCTGCGTGGCGGGTTGTCCAGGTAACCACGGGAGTTGTCGCTGTCTGGTGGCATCTGAGAGACAGGTATTCGTCATGCAGTTGAAGCACCTAAGAACCCTGCTGAGCCCTCAGGTGAGGAGTTGCGTGCCTTTTCCCTCCCCCGCCCTCCTTAACGTTCCAAGAAAAGTGGGGAACTGAAGTTTAACAATGTTGAGCGCCTACTGGGTGCAGAAGGCTAAAGGCTATAGCGATTCTGCTGCGTCCATAGTGTTCAGTAGGCTGGATGGACCGCTAACCACTGCAGCTTTCACTGCGTTTCACTGAGCATCAGTTTTGTACCAGGCCCCGTGCTGGGGCTAGGAGGGATCCAGAACTAGCGGTTACTGTCCTGCCTTCAAAAGGCTCGGACTAAAGGGAGAGGCGCGCACGTGAACGACGAACAGAACCTACACCGAATTAAATAAGCGTATTGAGTGCAAGCCCCCAAAGAGGGAGTGGCAGGACCGCACCGTTCGTCCCGACGGTGAAGATCTCTGAGTCAGAAGAGGCTGGGCACTGGGGGAGGAAGCCAGAGGTTGAAGGAAGGCAGGGTTTTGGAGTTAGGGAACTAGAAATCCAGTCCTAGCGCCACCACTCCTTTAAATATATAAATGACCTGATACCTCAGGCCTGAGCCCACATCGCACGGTCTCTCTCAGCGCTCGCCCTAATGGCAACCTTAGGGAATTTGGGAAGAGCCGAAGGAGGTACGATAGCATACACAAAAGAACATTGTAAGCTGAAAAACAGTGTGAAAAAACGGATAGAAAAGAGAGAACAACACTCAAAATTCAAAGAACAGAATAATACAAAGCTAATTATACTTTCTCTCATAACTGAATGTTTAATAGCATAAGTAAAGTTAGGGTTGTGGTTTAGGAAGTCAGACACTCATGGATTTAAATCTTGGTTCTGTCACTTCACAAATTGTATATGTAAACTTGAGCAAATTACTTAACCTCTGCATACCTCAGACTCCCTACCTGTAAAAGATGCATAATAATAACACCTACCTGTTCTGAGATAAAACAAGAAAATGCATATCAAACACTCATCAAAATGCCTAGTCTAGCCCTGCCCTGGGAGATTCAGTTGGTTGGAGCGCCATCCTGTACACCAGAATGTTGCAGGGTCGAACCCCGGTCATGACAACATATTTCGGTTGAGGGTTCGCTCCCCGGTTGGGGCGCGGGCGGGAGGCAACCAATGGGTGTCTCTCTCACACGTCGATGTGTCTCTCTCATTTCCTCTCTAAAATCAATCAATATATCCTCTGCTGAGTATTAAAGAAAAAAAATGCCTAGTCTATGGTAATGATAAGCACTTGTTAAAAGGATAGCTGTTATTGTTCTACTTCCTACCTCATTTAATCCTCACAACAGTCTTGTGAGGTGATATTGGGACGAAAGGAGAACTGATTGATTATAGAAATCAGGAAGGCTTAGCAAAGGATGTGGCATTAGGAGAATAGAAGGAAATTAGAACAAAAGAGAGATGTGCCCATTGCTCAGTAAACTGCCCCCTGAATCTGTAATTTAAAAATTCCTTTTCCCTAATGGAATAATTGGAAGTGAAATCTTCCTTCAGCCTTTCAAAAATAAGATGATGTCATTATGCAGGAAAGGGCCAAATGCCCAGGACTGGGGGGGAAAAAAAAAAAAAAACAATGAAGGGAGATGATTGGCAATTACTGTTGAGCCCTCAGCCTTTCTAATGTGACTTAAGAGGTGGAGAGTGAGCCCTGATCGTGCAGCTCAGTTGGTGGATGTCATCCTGCAGGGCTAAAGGTTGCAGGTTCGATTCCTGGTCAGGGCATATGCCTGGGTTGTGGACTGATCCCTGGTTGGGGGCATGTGAGAGGCATCGATGTTCCTCTCCCTCTCTTTTTCCTTCTCTTCCTCTCTCTAAAAAATAAATAAATAAAATCTTTTTTTAAGGTAACAGGCACCTTTGAAAAAAGTTGGAGGGTGATACTAGTGGTGGTATGGCTATTTTCTGACTCTGGTTTGAGGATTTTGATGAAAAAAGCCTTTTTTGAAACCTCTGACTTTAGAGATAACTGGGTTAGAATGAAAAGTAACTGTTTTAAGCCAGCTCTCCAGAGCCCAAGTAATTAATCAAACAATTGAAGCAGAAACTAAATTTTTTATTTCAAGGAGGGAAATCAGCAGAACCATAGAGGACCAGGGCTGGTGGTCGAGGGGACAGACATGCAAGAATAATTCACTGGGAGATGATCCCTTCTAACTTCGGCTTTTGTGAAGTGAATAGTGAAGGAAGAAAAAAACAGCAAGGTGCCTTGTTCATCCTGAGTCTCAAATCTGATTAGTTTACTCCCTATTTCAGAACTTGTACTGTATCTCCCTTTCCTACCAAATAAACCTGAAGTCCTAGCTCTGAAGATCCTTCTTGAACTGGCCTCAGTCTGATTTTCTTGCCTTACCTTGAGCTAAATTAAATTATTATTTCTTGACCACACTTGCTTTTGCTCATACCATTCCATCTACCTCAGAAAATTTCCCCACTCAGCTGCATTCATTCTTCAAAGCTTAATGTTGATCATGCAAACATAAATGATCTCAGGCTTCTCCAAACTATTATAGTGCTTTGTATATACCTCACTTATGGGACTTTTCTCTTTTTTTGCACCACCTTATTAGCTCCTGGGGCAGGGACCATGTTTTGCTCTTTGTCTGCCTCTCAGCCCCTGGCCAAGTGCCTTTCTCAGTAAGGTACTCAAAAAATATTAATTGAATAAATGGCTAAAGACCAAAAAACTTAGATCAATGACTTTATTTCAGTAATAGACCTAGGATATGAGAAGACAAGGCCGTTGCAGGAACACATTGATACAGTTGAAGCCTGTGACTTCTTAGTACATTTGCCTTATGCGTTTCTAGAAGCACTTTGTCATCATAGTGGATCATGGATGCATGGATCCATCAGGAT